AGAGAGAAAGAGAGAGAGAGAGCAAGAGAGAGACACTGAGGAATTACATCTGGTGGATAAAAAAAGAAAGCATGGGCTTACAGAAGGGGGCAGTGTAAAAATGGAGAATGTCCTATTTCTTATTGAAAATTCATACTCAAGAAGGTAAGTGTAACTAATGAACTTTCTGTAAAATAAGTAATCAATTTGCATACCATGAAATGAAAACAAGTGTAACTCTACCACTACAGTCTTAGCAGAGAAAAGAAACACACACCAACAGAAAAATTAATAGACAAGCTTAATAAAGAGAGAAACAACATCTGAAAAAGTGACTCAAAGAACACATGTGAACACTAAAAGCATGAGAAGAAAATCTGGGAGAAAGAAGGAAAAGAAAGAAAATGTTGAAAGACAAAACAGCTCAAAGAAGTCAAATGGAAGTCAAGAAAGTCTTCAACAAGATGTGAAACAAGATGTGAAGGAGCCAAACCCATCGCGCAAAGCAATGTTTGCGAGTGGAAAGTAGCTCCTTTGGTCAGTAATAGTTACTCTTAAGTCGTAGCCTCTATTCCTCCAGAGTTCATCTTTAAGCCCTTCCAATCTAGAGTGGAGCTAGTGTATGGATAGAAACAAGAAATTTACAATGAACAGTGCAGTTCAGATGAGTAGTTCAAATCGTCTCATAATGTTCCAACAAATTTACACAATGTCTATTATATACATTTGATAATGTATATAATGGGAATGGTAGTAAAGAACTCCCTGGTATTTTCTAACCAAACAAAAGCAAACAAAAACATCCTGCTTTTCTAAATGGCTTAAAAATTAACAAAATCCCCACAATTGTTTATAATACAGATTAAAGAAACCCACATTGCTTTTTTATACCTCAGTATGGAGCCACATATTTCAAACAGCTCCAGAGGAGACATTTGGAGAATGAAAACAATTCTCTGAAATAGGACCATTGCCAAAAGTGGTGTAATTAATGTTTCCCATTTATGTTACATTGGCTGTTGAACCAGATTTGAGAGAAATTATTTTTTGAACCAGTGATTATAAGACTTTATTTAGTGTGTGTATAACTAACAAAAAAAAAAAAACCCAAGGAAGACAATTTTTAAAACTTTACCGTTAATGTATGTATGGAATGACTCCATTCCATATTTATAGAATTTATTTACTTTCATAAAAATCTTAACATAGAGGCTTTTGCATAACATAACGGAATTTGATTTTAAAGGGTAAGTTAAGAGTATCAAGTTTTATTTCATTTTTTATTTTGTTATTTGTTTAAATGGTGGGGAAAAAGGAACATGTGAAAAACTAAGTAATCTAAGATTATGAGATTACATTAAATTTCTAAGGGAAGAAAATGAATGGTTAAATGAAAGGTATATTAATTAGAATCCCTATTAATTTATTCTGTTGTACCATGTGATTTTATTGCAGTTAACAGCTGACTAATTTTATAGCATAAATGATTCTTCCTTCCACAGGGATCAAAACTAAACCTAAACCAATGCAAGAACAGTGTACTTTATTAAAGTAAGTGGAGGAAATGAAAAAAAAAAAGGACTTGCTGAAAACACAGGTATTCATTTATTAATCAAGATACGAGACTTCAGATAATTTATTTAGACATGTGTTTACATGTGAAATAGAATTTTTGCTTAAGATCACATTGCTAATTAATAAATCTTAAGATATGAAACAGAAACAAAAGGACAACACATAATAAATGGCAAGGAGCAAAAGTAAAAATGTCTTTTAAAAAAGCTGAGATATTTTAAGAAGCAGCCATGATCTTTAGAGACAGATAAATTACTTACCTTATGCTTAGGTCATAACAAGAATAGCACAGTGTTTAAAGTCAGCTCTTCATTATAGGAGGGACAATTGAAAGCCATAGGTTATAATAACATGAAATGCTACATAGAAATGAAGACTCTTCCAGCCCAACATGAAAAGCTAACTCTTTTGGGAGAAAAATTTAACTTGCATTTAATGAAACATGAACAACTGAACATGTAAATGTCAAAACATATCAATAACATACAAAACTCACACCAAAAAGGAAGAAACAGAAACAGGTCAATCACCCAGGACACAGAAGTTAAATATGATTATAATTTGTGATACATAAGGGAAGGCACATCACTCTAACGATGAAAGATGCATGCATAATATATAACCATTCATTTATGTCCCCAGGCCCAAGCCCACTCATCCAGACAAAAAAAGGTCCACTAACAACACGAGGAAAGAATGTAGTGCCAAGCTGTTATGAAGAAAGCAGGACACACGGAAGCACAGCAGTGGTCATGTGATTTGAGAGGTGTTCTTCCCTTAAACCATCCCATCACCATGCTCATTTTAAAGAAGCCAGGAAAAGATTCCCTTTCAATGCTGCAGTAGCTACGAGCCCCCAGCTTGAAGCTAGAGTGTGGAATTTTGATCACCGTTCCCTGCGATGTCAGGGGCTCTCCCATGGAAGCCAGATGTGTACAGCTAATAGTTAGAGGGAGTATAAGTAAACACAAACAACAAACATATCTTTCCTTCTGCATTTCACAGAAGGGAGGACTGAAACAAATCAAACCAAGCCCATGCTAAGGATAGGTTTGTAACAATATTAGGATGCAAAATATTAAAATAGGGATCATATTTGATTGTAGGTGTACACTAATTCAATTTCAAAAAACTACTTCTGTTTTGCTGCTCACTAGGCTCATTCATGCTCTTTCTCTTAGAAATGCTACAAAATATTGTTCACGTGGAAAAAGTCTGAGCAGCTGGTCAGATGGAGTCAAAATCAAGAAGAAACTAAGTCATTTTTCTCTGATGTACATCAAGAAAATTATTTAAAATTTTAGCATGACCAATAACTGGACAGTAAACACACTTTACTGTGTTTTTTTGTTTAAACACAATTAAAATTGTGCATATTTGCTTAGTTATATAATCTGAGAAATTGTCTGGTTTGGAAAGACACAATTTAATTTTTATATTGTTTAAATGCAAAGTTTATTCATTTAAAAATTAAATTTCCTATGGACTTTGCTCTCAATAAATATTACTTAAAATACAAGCTATTCTTGTCAGTAGTAGGGTCACATCAACTCATCAGAAAAAAACCCAAATCCCCCTGTTTTTCTATTATTAATGACATTATTTAACTTCATCTGGTTTGTTCTTTTGGTGTGACGTGAATTTTTAAATCATGGATGACATCCCAACTTAGTCAGCAGAGCTATGACTTCTGAAA